CTGCTGCATCTGGGAGGTCAGGTAAGCCAGCGTTTGTCCCTGGGTTGAGGTTGCCTGGTGGGTCTCTGTAGTTAAGGTAGCTATCGTGACCTCTTGTCTTTGGATGGCTTCCTCAACCCTCTCAAAGCGGTCTCTAGGAGACCCGGTGTTTGCTTGGTCCATTTCTGGCCAGATCGTTCTGTCACAAACGAGCTGAGGACCAAAATGCAACACACGGGAAACCAGGGATAGTCGGTAACCAGCTTTATTGAAGGCAATAAACTGGTAGGAGACGAAAAGGCAGATAGTAGGCAAAGGGCTGGTCGGGGACAGGCGAGGGTTCCAGGAGAAGGCAAGACGGGAGTCGCAGGTACAGACCGGGTCAGGGAGCAGGCAAGGCAGAGTAGTCCGGGTACAGGCAGGGTCAGGAAACAGGCGAGGCAGGCTGGTCAGGGACAGGCAGGGTCGGAACCGGGAGAGCAATCTGGAGGGTAATGCGGGAAAGACTGGCATGCTGCAAAGTACGATCTGGCACTGAGGTGAAAGTGAAGTGGGCCGATATACTACTGGAGCTGATGGGTGTAACAGAGTGAGAGAGAGAGACAGGGTGTGGCTACCAGGTGACTAAGGAATGTTAATGCAGAAAATAGGTGAGTGAGAAAGCAGAACTGTGACAACAAAGTAACAATGAGCTGTCATGTGGGTATATATTAATGCTGCGCATTATGTACACAAGTGATTTTCACCCATTTATTAATTACATGTTTTAAATTTGTACACACCAATTTGTTTCCTATCGCCTGAACCTCCAGGGCTGTACACAGTTTAATACTGTCAACTTCTAATTTTGGGAAAAACGAAAACGTCTTTTAAAACTACAATTCCCAGTAGAGACGTGCCATAGAACATGTTGCGAAAAACAATAGCCAGCATGTGTATTTCTGGGGGGGCGTTCGAGTCCAGTTTTGGAAAGTCTGCCGTGGTTTCGTTCCATTTCAAATAGCTGTTTGACGCTCGGCGTAACCTTGGCGCACTGCCACTCCAACATCCAATCCCAGAGCTTGAAGATTAATCACGGGGTTTGCAACGGGACTGTAGTCCCAAACGATAGCTGGGAATTATGGGTAGTGTAGTGTCTTCGGCCATCCTAAACTCAGATTTTTTTTTCGGATATCATATCGCATTAACACCATATCCCAACGTGCATTGCGGCTAAAACATCCCGAGCTTCAAGCTGAGGATCTTGGGTAATCAGTTTACCGTCTACGTCTGTTTCCGGTGACTTTATTTACGGCTAAAAAGCATGCTAAAAAGCCCAAGATTATAGAATTAAACGAATAAATAAAAACAAGGATAATTGTGTGTTATTGTTGAGTGAATAACAGTGTGTTATTTAGAAAAGAATAACAAATTAGAAGGAAAAAAAGATTAAAAAAAATACAGATTTCAGTATTCTGAGGCTCTGAGCCACATTTCTTTTCCTCACAGACGGCAAAAAAGGTCAGACATTATACGATTTAAAATAAAAACAATAATCGTGGCTTGGTACTAGGCTTGTTTGAGACAAGCGAGACCTGCACAGACCTGCGCAATTGCGATCAACGTCTTGCTAGTGCGTTGCATGATGGTTAGTCATTTTGTCCGACTTGCTCTGGAGGCTCGCCTACATGAGACGTTCTTTATAAATGCAAACCGAGTCAAGCCGACTCCGGAGGTGGCGGTATGCACCTTAAAGTTGTTTGCAATCCGCCAAAAAATCGAGAGAAGAAGGAGAAGAGGAAGAAGCCGACTCTGAGCTGTCCGACTTCAGGCGAGCTTTTTGAGACCTCCCCCGGCTGCGATCGGCTATTCTCGTCTACTTTCGAGGCGAGCCGCAGCTCGTCTCAAACAAGCCTATTGAGTAAGAACATGTTTTTATGAACCACACAGCTTCCGGTCTACCAAGAGCCGACCGGACAAAAATAAGTGGTGCAGGCAGGCACGAAACGTGGCGTGTCATATGCACGCAAAATCAGACTTCTGCGTATATTGCACGCATTTCCAATGTGTAAAGTCGTGTCATTTGTACGCAGACTGAAGAGAGTGGGTTGTGTTGAACACTCATAATAAAATATGTGAAAAACAAAAGATCAATTCCTCTTTCCGCCCCAAAAGACATGGAAGAAATACCTTCTTTGTGTCATCCTTTTGCAAATATAGAGAGGTGAGGGCAGATTGAACAGAGCTGGGGGGGGTGGGGGGGTCCGCTCTGAGGAGGCAGATAGAGACCTCTGCTGACTGGAAGGAAGCACAGGCGTCAGTATCAGCGTATTTTGTGGAGTAAATCACTCTTTTGTCCATGGTCAAAAGAGCTTAGGAGCAGGGGGACATGCTGCATATTCAGTGAAGGAAATAATTATTTGATCCCTTGCCGATTTTGTAATTTTACCCACTTACAAATAAATGAACAGTCTATCATTTTAATGGTATTGATTTGCATTTAATTGTGTGAAATAAGTATTTGATCTCCAACTTCCTCCTGGGTTTTTGTGACGACATTTCTTAATATTTTCACATCGATTAATGGCAAACATTTTCAGCAGATTGATAATTGATGAAAGTGATAATAAGTTGATCAAAATGAGGTCCTCCTTCACCAGTACAAAGGTAAAATCCTTTTATTTTATTTTATATTATTGCAGTAATAAATAGTGTACCAGTCACAGGGTAAATGTTTAACTACATTTAGTTGATTAAACCTACAGAATTTAAAGTAACATTTTTCACAGCATGGTATTCACTGCAGTAAAGACTATGAATACTTGCTCCATCACTGATGCTTAAAATCATTTCAATACATGTATGGCGAATAATCAACGTTGGTTTCTTTGGGCTTTAACACTCACAAAATTCATTTAAGCCTTCAATACCTGTACATTTTTTTAAATTATGTTATAAATCAAATCCGATAATATCAATCAACATCACAATATTAATATTATACGGATTTAAACGTGTTTGTCTCATCGAATGCGCAAAAAAAACCCACAAATAGTTATATTTTTAAGTTTTAGTATTACTGTAACTCAGTGACCATCAACTGGCGGCCCGCGGGCCACATCCGGCCCGCCAGACATTCTCATCCGGCCTGCACGACGGGGGTGACTGTGGCGTTGGCGGAGTGGTTAGTGCGTTCGCCCCCCACTCATTAATTTGTTTACGTCTCATGAGTAATGTGCAGTACCGGAGTCCAACAGAGAGGCAGCAGCTGCGGGACAGTAGACTGTCGTCTCCCCCCCCCCCCCCGCGAAAGTGTCTATTGGATACATTTTGGCCCTTGGACAAATGTAGTTGGTGACACACTACCCGATCCGCTTCCCTACCCGATCTGCATTGCGCATGTGCGAGATGGTCCGCCATATTTGACAACTACATACGGCAACTAAAATAGGACATTTGACACAGTGGCGTTTGGCAAAGCAGAAAAAGAAAATTAAAAAAAAACAACAATATTAATCTGAACGAGAGAGATGAGTTATTGTTATTACAACGTGACTTCACTATTATTTAACAACTCCTTTTATTGGGTCCTTTTATTGGGTTAAGTACATTGTCAGAATAAGTGAGAAATGGATGTAACTTCTGTTAGACAGCTATCATACTGAAGAAATATTGACTGTGAATGTATGCAATATGTATGGCATTCATAATTTATATCTAATTACATTAAAGGTGGGGTAGGTAAGTTTGAGAAACCGGCTCGAGATACACTTTTTGTTATATTCCATGGAATGCTCTTAACATCCCGATAGCAATGAATATCTTAAGTGCTTTGACAAAAAATCCATAAAAAATGTCATCTGTGGAAGCCGGAGTACTGTAAAAAGCACGACCAATCATTTTAGCCGGCCCGGCTAAAATAACTGGATGGCCTACCTGCCTGTCAGCCTTCCATCTGTGCACAAACTTATCTCGTGCCCTCATTGGTCATGTGTGCGTTCGTGTGTGTTGGCTCTGTAAGGAAGTGGCAGATTTTTTCCGGCTGTGTATTTTCAAATTCTAGCACACATTCGAGCTGGTTTCTCCAAAATTACCTACCCCACCTTTAACTGTGAATGTCCTTCATTTTATTTAAAATAAAATAAAATAACAAAAGATTTTTATATAGATATTTGAGACGTTTATGACTCGCGCATGCACGATGCAAATCGGGCAGCTGTCTAGACGTCAAATGTCCTATTTTTGCCGTATGGAGTTGTCCAATATGGCGGACCATCTCGCACATGCGCAGTGCGGATCGGGTAGGGATGCGGATCGGGTAGTGACAATCCCTGCTGTAACTGATACTAGTGCAGCTACTGTTCAGCTGCAGTGAGTTAACATACCATCAGAATGTGTGCATGTATTTAAAGAAGGTGAGCCCACGTTTTGAACATGTCTTTACATTGTGTTGCCTGTATGGCAGCGGGTATTTATAGATGAACTTCAAACTGTTTCTAACGCAGCTGTTCTACATTTTTTGTACTTTTTGACATTTAGAACATTGTATTCTAATACATAAAAAATCGTAGTTTATTCTTAAAATTGTAAAACCATTTGATTTTGTGTCCTAATTAATAATTGTAAACTATTTGCTATACTGCACATATTTTATTCTCAGTGTCAGTTTCGTATTGGGGTCATTCTACAGAAAAGGTGGAATCGGGGTGACCATTTCCCACAATGCCGAATACAAAAACGAATTCTTAATTTGATTATAAACCATCAATTATATCACTATGTTATGGAGATGTGTGCAGGGAAAAAAATGATGTCACTGTTCCGGATATTTGCTTGAATGTGAAGCAGTGGCATCATGTGACACCGACACCAGGGGTCGAATCTCAACTGGTAAAAATAGCATGTAGTGTCACACACACACACACACACACACACACACACACACACACACCACACACACACACACACACACACACACACACACACACACACACACACACACACACACACACACACACACACACACACACACACAACACACACAGTCAGATCTCAGTAAACAAGCTGGTGAAAGTGAGCAGACAACCGGACTTTAACAGGAACTCACAGGTATGGAAACACAATATGTTTTCTATTTATCTCAGTGGTATGTTGGTATTCATTCTCACAGGGATACTATTTTATATAATTATGATATTGTACAATATTAAATATGTCTCGTTAACAGTGGAATGTAGCCAGATTAGCAGCTCTTAAATTGAAACAGCATGAAATTCCACCCAGCTGACACTGAGGAATTATGGGAAGTTGAGTTTACCTCCTTCATCTCTTGGTATCCTCATATTAAGCATGTTAGCATTTCATTCAATAACAATGAATGTGTCAGTGTCTTATGCTAACCTTTAGTATGCTAAGGCTAAGAGGTATCCTTTCTGATCTAGTCATCTGTGGACTATTATCAATGGGTGGAGTATGAGAGAAGGGGCCCCTGGGAACAGGCTGTTCATCTCTCTGTAGTCATTTTGTGTTTCTTTGTCAACACAATGTCCTTCTTTTTGGTCATGGTATGTTTGAATGTGGTAATTGAGATGACGAGACGGCGTACAGAGAGGAGGTCGAAAACCTGACATATTGGTGCCAGGATAACAACCTCCATCTCAACATCAGCAAAACAAAGGAGCTGATTGTGGACTACAGGAAGCAGCAGGGAGAGGGACACGCCCCCATCGCCATCAATGGGACTACGGTGGAGAGAGTCAAAAGCTTCAGGTTCCTTGGGGTCCACATCACTGAGGACCTGACATGGACTCTTCACACCACCACCATCACCAAGAAAGCTCGACAGCGGCTCTTCTTCCTCCGCAGGCTGAGGAGGTTCAAAATGGATTTCAGGACACTCTGCAACTTCTACAGGTGCACCATAGAGAGGATCCTGACCTTCTACAGGTGCACCATAGAGAGCATCCTGACCTTCTACAGGTGCACCATAGAGAGCATCCTGACCTTCTACAGGTGCACCATAGAGAGCATCCTGACCTTCTACAGGTGCACCATAGAGAGTATCCTCACTGGCTGCATCACGGCCTGGTACGGCAGCTGCACCGACCTCGATCGTAAGGCTTTACAGAGGGTGGTGAAAACTGCACAGCACATCACCAGGACGGAGCTGCCATCCATGGAGGACCTTTACTCCCAGCGGCTCAGGAAGAAATCACTACGGATTATCAAAGACCCCCATCACCCCAGCCACAAACTGTTCTTTCTGTTGCCGTCTGGCAGACGTTACCGCAGCATCCTGGCAAGGACAAGAAGATTCGGAGACAGTTTCTTCCCGCGGGCAGTGAGACTGTTAAAAAATTGAACTGTTGAAACAACTTCAAACATTCATCTGCTACTCAGTAGTATGTATCTAATACCTAATATATATATATATCATTCCAATAACTTGTATATAGACTCTATTGCACTATTCCACATCATAACTTTATTTTATTTTATAACTATTATTATTTTTGTATTGCTCTTGCTCTTATTGTTATTATGTTATTATGTTGCATTGTTGGAGAAGCCTGTGACATAAGATTTTCAACTACATAATTACTCTGTAGCTATGTCAGATTGACAATAAAGAACCTTGAACCTAATTGTATGCCTTTTCTGTCTCTTTTAGGCCAATTTCTTTTCTTTTTGTAGTCCTTTTCTGTCTATTTGTAGTCCTTTATGTTTCTTTGGGGTCATTTTCAGTCTTTTGGTACATGTCTCTTTGAGTGACATTTGTAGCTAAAGGCCTGGTACGCCCATTCAGTAATATATTAATGATAAGAGTCATTGCAGTGTTAAAACAAATGTGTGAACTCACTAATGCTTGAATTTGACTTTTTGCCTCAGTTTGAGGGTTAAGTAAGAGTTGAATAGCATCTGCATGGCAGTGATGGAGATCCCTGTGGGACAGAAGGGTTGCTATAGCTAAGCCAAAAGTTCAGACGTTCTTTGAAAATAAAAGCTCTTGTAGCTGTGTGTGACAGGGAGTGAACTTTGCTGTGATGTAGTAATGCAGACTCATCAGAAATGTGAGTCTCCAGCAGCAGTCATGTTAGTCATATGAATATAAGCTGAGTGGAAGGTCAGAGAGCTGGCCTGAGGCTCAATACACCTGAGAGGAGCGACAACCACAGATCCTCATCATTACTCCACTCAGTGATCGACTGTATCCTCTGCAGCTGAGGTCAACAGCGTTGCTAATAAATGCTTAGACCTGAATTTTGTAAATCAACGTACACCAATCAGACCAAAACAATAACCCAAAAAGCAAATAAAAGCTATACATAAATCAATAAATGTTCATGTTTACCTGTGTACACTAAACCGTTTCAGTTCTTTCAATGTTCTTCTTCTTCTCCTTGGTTCTTTCCAGGAGATGGCTCTGGGGAGGAAGGTGGACGTCCCGGTCAGCGACGTCTCTCTGATCAGAGGGATGTGGGAGGTCCGGGTGAAGAAGCACAGACACACACAGAAGAAGGAGCAGGAGAGGATCGAGCAAAGTGCCCTTCCCAAGTAAGATGATCGAGGATGTACAAAACATGTCAGCTTTCACTTTCAGTTATGGTTTAGTTACAGAGAAAGCAGTATTCAAAAGCGTTAGAATGCCATCTTAAGGGTAGACACGCTGCTTTCATTACACACATTTCAAGAAGGAACAATCAAACACATGCATTATCATCTGTGCATGACTGGTGATCTGGCCACTCTGGTTCTACCTGTCCTGATGAAGAAGGGACCAGGGTCCAGATCCTCCTTCCCATCCTCAGCCGTGCTGGGTCAACTCCCTTATGTTAGGGCCGTGGCCCTGTTTGCTGAACACTCCCCTTTAAAGCCTTTTCTACTTTTAAGATACTACGAGATATGTATGGCAGCAAGTCAAGCATGTGAAGTCAAAATCTTTGGAAAACTTTGCAAATTCATGGCAGTAGAATTGTAGTCCCTTATCCGTGATAAGAACCTCCTGGCATCCGTACATGCAAAGACACATTTGCCCCTTTGCAGTCTTGCTGAAGGGCTGTAGGGCAAGATGCAAAACTCTATGTACCTTAACAAAAAAGTAAACCAAGACCAGAGTTACCCAGGGATAAATTCTGATTCTGATAAGTCACAATTTTTCCTCTGGGAAAGGTCGGCCCCCACTCTGTCCGCGGAGTCCTTGCTCCGGCAAGGCCTTTGTTGACCCCTTAATGTCCTTGGTGATGTTTCTGCGGTACCTACCGCCTCAGGTGTTCTTGAACCTCCAGTCTCTCTCTTTTCATACACAGTCTGTCCCAATCATGCAAATCTGAATGTAGGCTTTTCCCCATGAGGTGTTCAAGGCGTTTGCATGCTTAGTCAATGTTTTGTGCTGTACTGAGCCAATAACGAACATTCTTCATCAATATCTCATACACAAATTGACATTATTATTGTTATGTATTTGAGCAAGAGTTCTATAGTATAATAGTAAAGTATAACAAATAACAACATACAAATGTGGGACCCAGAGTAATATCGGGCCTCGCAAAGGAAAGGTAATGGTTCGAAACTAAATATTGTAAAAGCCCTTTATATTTAGTTGTATTCAATTCAACTGTAATTTTCTGAAATATGTTCATGTACAATGCCAACTTTAGTAGGTCAAATTATAGTTAAAAGGAGTCAAGCTCACACAGCACTGAGGGCAGCTCAGGGGCTCTATAAGTGAAATGCAGAAGAGATTAAGGCATTATTTATTAGAATGATCCGAAAGTAGGCAGCCACGTTGCAGTGATGTGCTTGTGTATTTCCAGGTAAGTTTACGTGATAAAAAGACGTATAAAAGTAGTGACACAGATGTGTAATACATCGCAACTACAAAGAAAACACTACAACAACAGCTTGGTCAAAGTTGACATATTGCCATAAACATTATAATCAGGTCATAATAAAAAACTCAAACAAGTAAGATGGAAAAGGGGTCTTACATGAATCTAAAATGTTACAGTTCCCAAATCTCCACCCAGCTTTGAACCAATTGTAGGACACACACTCAGACACAGCTGACTGTTGTCAGTCATAAACCAAGAGGTCAGGGCTGATTTTAGTCATATGAACACACAGATTGCTATTTATACCAGAACATCAGTGCTGCGGTTCAAAAGAAGGTAATGAGTTTAGAAAATGAACGTCAGGTCTCTCTGAAATATAATCTGATATGAACCTGCAGATTTTTTATTGACACGTCTCTCTGTGTCTAGGATCGACCAGCAGTGGCAGTATCGTATCTACTGTAAGAGCCTGCAGACCAAGGAACTCAACCTCCTGCATCACTACCTGGAGAGATCTACACTGACTGAGACACAACCCTGCACAGGTGACTCACTGATGTACTACGCCAAACATAGACCAATATACAGGTGTACACAGCTAAACATGACTGATATACATGTATACATACGTAAACATATCGGTGATGTTTACCTGCATACACCTATACTGTATATAGGTCATGTTTACATTGTTATACTTGTATATGAGTCATGTTTAGTTGTGTACACCTGTATTTCACTCATGTTAATCGATACACCTGTCATGTTTACTTGTGTACAGATGTATACCTGTCATGTTTACCTGTGTATACTTGTATATCATATGTTTAGTGTTGTATATATATCATGTTAGGTCAACATTGTTATAAACAATGTTTGCTTTTGTACACCTGTATTTCACTCATGTTTATTGGTACACCTGTCATGTTAACCTGTGTTTACTAAACAGTAAACGTGACTGACATACAGGTGTACACAGGTAAACATGACTGACATACAGGTGTACACAGGTAAACATGACTGACCTACAGGTGTACACAGGTAAACATGACTGACATACAAGTGTACGCAGGTAAACATGACTGACATACAGGTGTACACAGGTAAACATGACTGACATACAGGTGTACACAGGTAAACATGACTGACATACAGGTGTACACAGGTAAACATGACTGACCTACAGGTGTACACAGGTAAACAGCTATATTGCTTAAATTGTGTTGTTGTGTTTTGCTCTCTGTTGTTTATCTGTCAGAAGCAGAGCAGGATCAGAGAGATCGGGAGCAGAGCAGCCTGATCTTCCAGCTGGACGGTGAACAGTGGATGGTAAGCTGGAAATACATTCCACAATGTCTGAAAGGTAATAAAACCTGTTATTAAGTGAATATGTGTGCAGGACTTCCCCAGGGAGCTGCAGTGGATGACGTACCTCAAAGAGTGGCACGTCAGGGGGACGAGGATCTGTCGGCTGCCTGAGTACCTGGCTCTGTTCACCCAGCTCTCCGTGCTCCAGATCCCAAAGAACACCATCGCTGAGCTGCCTCCTGAGATCGGTGAGGTCAAACACGTTTTTAAACATGGATCATTTTCAGAGAGAGATCTGATTTCAGTGCCATCCTGCATACCTGAAGTCGTGTGTGAAACTGAAATGTTGACTTTAATTAAATGTCAACACATTTCACATAACTTTATTAAGATAGTTGAAAGCAACAATATTAAGTTGAACCTATTATTTTTCATTTAAACTTGATATTATTGCTTTCAACTAACCTAATACAGTTATGTGAAATATGTTGACATGATACATTTAATTAAAGTCAACGTTTTAGTTTAGTGTGTTGTGGCGATCCAGCACTCACACAACAGGAAAGAATGAAACAGAGAGGAATCAATAAAACACAAACACAGATATAGCTGATCAGTAATTATTATTTAGTTGTTGCAACAAACAAACAATAATGGGGAGTACATCACCTGCTGCCACTAGAGATGTCCCGATCCGATCACGTGATCGGGGATCGGAGCCAATCACGTGATTTTCAAAAGATCGGAATCGGGATTTTCTTTTTTATAAAATATTTTAATTATTTTATTTAATGTTACAAAACAAAAATGACCATGTTCACGTAAAGTCATCCTGAGGCCTTAGTTTTGGTTTAAAATTACACAACATCATGTATGTGTTGCTTCTTTTGGGCTTGTTTTCATAGACCTGAGGCCAGGGGGCTATACTACGAATCAAGATTTTCGTTTAGCAAGCTAACTTCAGGGGTTTCCGGTCCTACGAAGCTGGTTCACTTTTTAGCGGGCTAGATAACTTATTCTGAACAGCTATCCTCCGGAGCAGGATAGGTTCCAGGATAAAAGCACTGCCTGCTGACCAATCAGAGCTCAGTGTGCGGAGTTTAAAGCGATCAATTCATATGACAGGAGGAGAAAGGAAATACAGTTTAAACTGCCGTTGCAGGAAAGACGGCCGGCCAAAATCACCGACTGTGTGAACGTGAAAATGAATAGAATATCACCTCCCATCTTCAGAGCAATCTGACTATTATAACATTAGCGTTAAGAAAGCTTACTTAAATATCTGCCACAACATAAGTAACCTACAGTCCGCGGCACTGTGAGTGCAGACGTACCCCATTATCATTCATATCACATGATATCACATCATAATGTATCATATATTTCCTTATCTGAGTCAGCTTCTTGAGCCGTATCTGGCCGTGCAACACTCACAGTGTCACATACTGTATGCAGAAGTATTATTTTAAGCAACACATTAAGTTGACACTCGAGTCAAATGTAATTAAAGTCAGATCCACTCGTGTCTTGGACGGGGCAGCAGTGATATCATAAAACTGTTAATGAACGTATTCAAACACTTTTTCTTTTACCAGCAGTATTCACCTTGCAGCTGCAACTATGTGCCTTTTATCCTGGATAAAGTGTTTAAGTCATGGATGTTTAAGGTTTAACGTCTTCATATTTGTCTAATATTAGTTGACTTTTCATTCAGGAAATATATGACGCGCTGCGCTGTCAGTACACGGCTTGTCCATGTTTGTGATTGGTCGAATGCTCCAAATACCACCCCTTTCATGTGAACGCGCACCTAACTAGATAGGACACGGCTGGCTTGCGGTCGAGGTGATAGCCAGCGTCGTAGGACAGTTTAGCGAGAGCGTTTTTTTTTTTGGATTTAGTCAGCCGGATAACTCAAAACACATCCAGGATATGTTGAACTAGATTCGTAGTATACCCCCCAGGTTAGGTGGCAGGCTAAGAGATCAACTCAGTGAAAGCACCGCCTGCTGACCAATCAGAGCTCCGTGTGCGGAGTTTAAAGCGATCAATTCATCAATCAATCAATTCAACTCAAAACATATCCAGGATATGTTGAACTAGATTCGTAGTATACCCCCCTGTACTACGAAGCTGGTTCAACTTAACCTGGATATGTTGGAGTTAGCCAGTTGGCGTAATCCAAAACATACGCGCTGGCGCTAAACTGTACTATGACGCTGGATATCAAGTGGATCGCTCAAGCCGCCGTGTCCTATCTAGTTAGGTGCGCGTTCACATGAAAGGGTTGGTATTTGGAGCATTCGACCAATCTCAAACACGGACAAGCGTACTGACAGCGCAGCGTCATACTTCCTGAATGAAAAGTGAACTTTAATATTAGTCAAATATGAGGAAGTTAAACTTTAAACATCCATGACTTAAACACTTTACCCAGGATAAAAGCCACATAGCTGCACCTGCAAGGTGAATACAGCTGGTAAAAGAAAAAGTGTTTGAATGTGTACATTAACAGGTTTATGAAATCACTGCCCCGTCCAAGACACGATCTGACTTTAATTAGGAGAATTTGACTCGAGTGTTTCGTCAACTTAATGTGTTGCTTAAAATAATACTTCTGCATACAGTATGTGACACTGTGAGTGTTGCACGGCCAGATACGGCTCAAGAAGCTGTCTCAAATAAGGAAATATATGATACATTATGATGTGATATGATATGAATGATAATGGGACACATCGACGTCTGCACTCACAGTGCCGCGGACTGTACGTAATGTTACTCTGATCCGGTTACTTATGTCGTGGCAGATATTTAAGTAAGCTTTCTTAACGCTAATATTATAATAGTCAGATTGCTCTGAAGATGGGAGGGGATATTGTATTAATTTTCACGGCCGTCTTTCCTGCAACGGCAGTTTTTCTGTATTTCCTCTATCCTGTAATATGAATTGATCGCTTTAAACTCCGCACACGGAGCTCTGATTGGTCAGCAGGCGGTGCTTTCACTGAGTTGATCTCTTAGCCTGCCACCTAACCTGGGGGGTATACTACGAATCTAGTTCAACATATCCTGGATATGTTTTGAGTTATCCGGCTGACTAAATCCAAAAAAAAAAAAACGCTCTCGCTAAACTGTCCTACGACGCTGGCTATCACCTCGACCGCAAACCAGCCGTGTCCTATCTAGTTAGGTGCGCGTCCACATAAAAGGGGTGGTATTTGGAGCATTCGACCAATCACAAACATGGACAAGCCGTGTACTGACAGCGCAGCGCGTCATATATTTCCTGAATGAAAAGTCAACTAATATTAGACAAATATGAAGACGTTAAACTTTAAACATCCATGACTTAAACACTTTATCCAGGATAAAAGCCACATAGCTGCACCTGCAAGGTGAATACTGCTGGTGAAAGAAAAAGTGTTTGAATACGTTCATTAACAGTTTTATGATATCACTGCTGCCCCGACACGAGTGGATCTGACTTTAATTACATTTGACTCGAGTGTCAACTTAATGTGTTGCTTAAAATAATACTTCTGCATACAGTATGTGACACTGTGAGCAGGGGTTAATTGGGCCGGGGCTGTCCGGGGCTCAGCCCCGGCACATAGGACGATGCTCTGACGTCATCACCCTCGCTCATTTGTCATTTGTTTAAGCCATATATTAAACCATCTCTCGTTCTTAATATAGACTTTATTTAGGGTCGATATGTGTTGACTTTACTTTAAAATAGCAGATCTCTGTGACATGATATAGTTTTTCCGCTTAGTGAACGTGTGTCTCTGCTCCGATCAGGAGCTGCAGCACCGCGGCTCCTTCGTGCAGAGTCTGCAGCGGTGTGTGTGTGTGTGGAGATGTGTGTTGTGTGTGTGTGTGTGTGTGTGTGTGTGTGTTGTGTGTGTTGTGTGTGTGTGTGTGTGTGTGTGTGTGTGTGTGTGTGTGTGTGTGTGTGTGTGTGTGTGCTGTGTGTGTGTGTGAAGAAATGTTTGAAAATGTAAAGTAAAATGCTTCAATCTTGTGCACTTTAAGCACACATTACTAGAGACTAGATCTAGGGGGTACAACTCTAAACAACCATATTAAAAAAGATCGGTTTACATTTTAATAACCAAATATGTGAAACATAACCAATAACCTACCATAGCCAATAACTATAAATAAATGTAACTTTTATTTTTGTTCATTCATATCTTATTTTACCTAGTTAAAATGTATTTATGCATATTTTTATATCGCTCAAGTTTTAAACGATGGTTTACTGTCCTATAGTATACATTGAAATGATTTCAAACCTGTTTATCCAAATAATTATAAAGGAGTGCCTTGGAAATATTTGTTCACATAAATTGCATTTATCTCTCTCGCTCGCTCCCACGCCCACTTTGGCTGTGAGCTGCGGACGCCTGATAAGCCAACACCCCCCACTTTCATCACTTACAGCGCCCATCGTACAGGGCAAATGAAAAGTGTAACCTGGGTGAAAAGGGTGTTACCTTTACTTAATTATGAATGTTGTTACATCAAGGCTGAAAATTAGGATGAGCGCAAACAGTCAAAAAGGTTTTTTTCCCTCCCGGAGCTATACCAGCGCAGCGCCCCCCAGAACTTGTTTAATTTGTTATCACAATTACTAATGTCATGTTTTTTTTTTATTCTTGAAGAGAATGTCTTTTTTTCTGGCATTCTTCCAGCATTAACAAAAATAAGAATAACATTGAGAAAAATCTTTGAAGTAAATGGCTGTTGTTAAACGCTTCCCACATTTACTTCAATCGTTCAGTAGAAAAGATAAAAGTATCCCAGCAATACACAATAGAATATATAAAGAATAAATGAAAAATCTCTTCAAAAGACAAATACACTCCAAAAACTGAAACTTATTGACATAGGTAATATACATCAAAAGGCTTCAAATGTATTCAGTATTGTATGAACATGTTTTAATTGGGGTGTGGACATCACATCCTGTAGGGGGGTCCGGGGGTATGCCCCCCCGGGAAGAAATGTTTGAAAATGTAAAGTAAAATGCTTCAATCTTGTGCACTTTAAGCACACATTACTAGAGACTAGATCTAGGGGGTACAACTCTAAACAACCATATTAAAAAGATCGGTTTACATTTTAATAACCAAATATGTGAACATAACCAATAACCTACCATAGCCAATAACAAATAAATGTAACTTATTTTATTTTTGTTGTTCATTCATATCTTATTTTACCTAGTTAAAATGTATTTATGCATATTTTTATATCTCAAGTTTTAAACGATATTTTTGGTTTACTGTCCTATAGTATACATTGAAATGATTTCAAACCTGTTTATCCAAATAATTATAAACGAGTGCCTTGGAAATATTTGTTTACATAAATTGCATTTATCTCTCTCGCTCGCTCCCACGCCCACTTTGGCTGTGAGCTGCGGGCGCCTGATAAGCCAACACCCCCCCATTTCATCACTTACAGCGCCCATCGTACAGGGCAAATGAAAAGTGTAACCGGGGTGAAAAGGGTGTTACCTTTACTTAATTATGAATGTTGTTACATCAAGGCTGAAAATTAGGATGAGCGCAAACAGTCAAAAAGGTTTTTTTCCCCCCCAGATCTGGCGCCCTAGGCGACCGCCTATGTCGCCTATGCCAAAAACCGGCCCTGTACACCATGCTAAATGTATGTCTGCATAAATCTGAGTTATGATCGGTCATAATAACACAGAATTGGTGATGATTAAATAGTTTACAGTGAGATTTACTCCCATACTTTTGGCTATACTCACGCAGTCCTACAAATGAATTGAGATTTCCACACAAATGTTCTTTAGCAAGTGTGCAGAGTAGTGTTGATTTAAAAAAACAATTTGAAGGTTGGATATTTGTGTTTTTTGTGTATATATATATATTAATAATTTAAGATGTAATGAATTCCAGTTTATTTGTAGTAGCCTACTTTATATTTTTATTGTGACATTTGGTGGCATCAATGTGTGCATTTGATACAGATAATGGAGCAGTTGCTTTAGGGCCACAGTGTATATCCCTTAAGGTCAAATAATGAGATCCTCGACCTCCGCCCCTCTCGCACCTCCATACAGAGCCCCCCCACATATCAAATCCCAACTTAACCCCTGACTGTGAGTGTTGCACGCCAGATACGGCTCAAGAAGCTGACTCAGATAAGGAAATATATGATACATTAAGATGTGATATCATGTGATATGAATGATAATGGGGTACGTCTGCACTCACAGTGCCGCGGACTGTAGGTTACTTATGTTGTGGCAGATATTTAAGTAAGCTTTCTTAACGCTAATGTTATAATAGTCAGATTGCTCTGAAGATGGGAGGTGATATTCTATTCATTTTCACGTTCACACAGTCGGTGATTTTGGCCGGTCGTCTTTCCTGCAACGGCAGTTTAAACTGTATTTCCTTTCTCCTCCTGTCATATGAATTGATCGCTTTGAACTCCGCACACTGAGCTCTGATTGGTCAGCAGGCAGTGCTTTTATCCTGGAACCTATCCTGCTCCGGAGGATAGCCGTTCAGAATAAGTTATCTAGCCCGCTAAAAAGTGAACCAGCTTCGTAGGACCGGAAACCCCTGAAGTTAGCTTGCTAAATGAAAATCTTGATTCGTAGTATAGCCCCCTGCTCCGGAGCAGGTTTGCCGCTCAGCATAAGTTACCATGGAAATCTAGCCTGCTAAAAAGAGAACCAGCGTCGTAGGACCGGAAAGCCCGAGATTTCCCTGAATTTAGCCGGCTAAGCGAAAATCCAGCTTCGTAGTACAGGCCTCTGGTTGCTTATTTCTCTCAAATCTGGCAACAGAGTGGGCAGGGCGCAGTGTCTAATAGTAGCAGGGCTGCCAACACTCACGCATTGAGCGTGAGAGTCACGCAATTAACACATATCTCACGCACTCACGCAACACATGCCTTTCCTCACGCTCAGTTTTCGTTCACAACAAATGTATATAAATATAAAAATAAAGTGAAGGAACAGCAAACCGAGCGGTCTACGAAATGAGACGGTCAGGCTTACGGAGGACTTCCTGTTTGCGTCACCTGACACCCGCGGTCCGTAGCACTGCCGCCTAGCAACCTGGACAGCGTCACGCATTGTGATTGGCTGTACGGTATTTGCACACTGATTGGATGTAACGAGGGTATACCGGGGGTCTGAGCAAAGACGAAGGAGAAGGAGGATGAGAAGAATAAGAGAAGGTAAGGAGAATATATTATAAGATATTTTCGCGCCACAGGTAAAGTAAAAATATTTTCTTTTGTTCTTTTTTAATTAATTAAAGTTAATGCTAACAAGTGCCAGTATAGCCCTAATAATTACATAAAGAAAAAGAAAATCTGTTTAAAGTTGTGTTTCATATGGGTGTTGAGAGATGTATCCTTAAATTCATTTTGCTCTCAAAGTGCACCAGATTGATGCATCAATATTTTTAAAAAAAATCTTCCCGGGGGAGCATGCCCCCGGACCCCCCTAGAGGAGGTGAGGACCACCCCCACTTATAAAATAGCACTTTACCCCTGCTTACACCTATATGCCATTTTATATGCTGTGAGCTGATTATCGAGCCTTCATTGTAAGAGTTGCGGGTACACTGTGTATGTGCGTACTCCACTGTAGCGCCCGGTACATTAATGGGAAACCCTAGTTTGTACTTGTTCAATACATTTGTAACACTGTACACATGGACGTTTCTTTTTTCGGTTCACCAAAAAAAATAAATCTCACTCCAAGCTGAACTCAAATGTTGGCAGCCCTGAATAGTAGCAGTAAGCTAACAAGAGGCTACGTTCAGCTGGTGCCTCGGGAGTCGGGACAGAGAAAATGTCAGGAGTTTGGAAGTATTATAAAATTGAAAGCGAAGGCAGTGTAACAGCCAGATGCAATGTTTGCAAGGCGGAGGTTCCGCGTCGTGGAAAGAACAGAGCTACGTTCAACACGACCAATCTAATACGCCACCTGAGAAACAAACACCAACAACAACACAACGAGTACACAGCGGCCACTCAGGTAACGGCACTGAAACAACCGACACTTTCAGAGACTTTTAAAAGGAAAGAGAAACTGCCCCAGAACAGTGAAAGGCCAAAAAAATAACAGCCAAGATAGCTGAATTCATCGCGTTGGATGACCAGCCGTTATCTGTTACCTTTTTTTTCTCTTAATGCATTGCATAAAGATCGGATCGGGAAAAATCGGACATGTTCCAACCTTATACAGTCATACATGTTGCATCCTCTGAGTTCTACATGATCCCAGATTTCATGACCTTATTTAGCAGCTACCACACATGCCAATGTATACAACTGCTGGTGAAGAGTTTCAGCTGGTTGCCTATAGATGGGCCTCCTTCCAGCAAACCAAATGAACAACACCGTCCACTATACTGTTGCTTAATACCATGTGACATTAATGAATATACCAGAAATACGCTGTAATAAACATTCTGCTATAACAAGTGCATCATTTAAAAATACACAAACATAACAGAAAGCAAATAATGTACTTTGCAGGATGTGGCAGAAAAGGCAAATTATTAAAAAGAATAGGGATTCAACAGTGATGGCAAATTATAAAAATAAAAATAAATTCAACAATAAAATAACAATGAAATGTTCAAAAAGAAAGGAAATGATTGTGGAAAGTGTATGTATGTGTGTGTGATTGTGTTAGTGAGGGGGATATTGATTTTTACACCTGCTTTGATTCCTATGCAATAGAGATGTTGAACGTCACTGTGACCGAAACAAAACACAATAAATAAGGTGATACAACAGATACATGGATATCAAATACACAGGACAAAGCAGCTACAAAGCAGCAGATAAATGGTCTTAGGCGTTGTTTGTAACATTTTATAGAGGAACAGTGTTTTGACAGGTGAGAACAAGGACAGGTGAGGAAAGAAAAGCCCTTTCATAACTTGAAACAGTCTCTTCTGTCCTCAGGTAAATTGACGGGTTTGAGGGAATTAAACGTCAGCTACAATCGTCTGTCCCGAGTTCCTCCAGAACTTGGAGACTGTGAGAACCTGAAGAGACTCGAACTCACCGGAAACCACAACCTGTCCGAGCTGCCGTTCGAGGTGAGGCCAGGAGGATGCAATTAGGCGCGTTCACACCGCAGTACTTTTCCCACTTTAGTTCCGATATAGTTCAGAAATGTTGCGTTCACACCAAAAAAATCCGGAACTAAAATTAGTTAATCAGAACCTTTTTACCACCTTTTCCATCCCTGCTAGAGATGGGTGAGTCCTGATTCATCCGGATCATTAACCCGGATCCTAGCAATGAGCTGGTCGTGATGAGTCTCCCCTCTCCATTAACCCGAGTCCTTTGAGTCCCACACCTGGTGACGTACAAATTAAAACTATAAATTGCGTCACTCGCTACCCTCCTTATAACATGTAAAATCACATTACAACGTACCCCAGTCCATCTGCCTAGCCTTTAGCAAGTAGGATAGCTGCCAGAAGTTATCGTTTGGCTCAGGGGAGGGGACGCGGATCAGTGAAACTTCCTGCAGACTCGTGCGGACTCAGAGCCGTAACCGTAGCAGATCCAGAGATCCAGAGATCCAGGCAGACTCATCATGCACGAGTCAACAGCAGACTCAGATTCGCAAATCCTGACTCACTGAATCAAGGGAACTTCCTTCACTTCCTGCAGACTCGTGAGTCGTGGGGACTCAGAGCCGTAACCGTATAGCAGATCCAGAGATCCAGACCATACATCCATGATCCAGACTCGTCATGCACGAGCATAGCCGCGGGAACTGGGAAGTCATTTTACTTAGGGGGTGGGGACAAAAGTGGGGAGAGATTTCAACAACGGTAACATGACGTTTTTCAAATGTACACCATTCGCAGCCCCGCCTCCAGCACCCCTACTTCCCGCGGCTATTGCTCAGATCTTGTAGTCGAGTAAAAGTACAAGTACCAGAGTGTAGGAATACTCTGTTACAAGCAAAAGTCCTGCAGTCAAAATGTTTCTCAAATCAAAATATACTTAAAGTACTAAAAGTAAAAGTAGTCATTGTGCAGATTGGTCCATTTCAGAATAATGTATATGATATGTTTTATAATGATTGATCATGAAAGTGTTCTCAAAGCTGGTAAAGGTGCAGCTAGTTTGAATGACTTTGTATACTGCAGGGTAGCTTGTGAATTTACTCCAGGTGGAACTAAAGTCTGATTTAACACTTGATTATATTTCACATCATTCATCCACATCTGTAAAGTAACTAAAGGGATTAAATACATGTAGTGGAGTAAAAGTACATGCTTTACCACTGAATTGTAGCATAAAACGGAAATACTCAATTAAAGTAGAAGTACCTCAAAATTGTACTTTAGTAAATGCACTTAGTTACTTTACATCACTGCTATCAATCAGTTAAAAAGTCAGTACAGGGATTGTTCGGAGCTTCATTTGTCATCATGTCTGGGTGAGTGTTGGTTGTGCGTTGACGGTGATGTCACTGTGTCAGCTGAGCAGCCTGAAGCAGCTGCTTCACCTGGACATCGCAGAGAACTCCTTCAGATCCATCCCCATCTGTGCTCTGAGGATGAGCTCTCTGCAGCTGCTGGACCTGAGCCACAACCGCCTGGGCGACCTGCCGCAGGACATGGACAGGTGACCACCACCTGGAATCTGATTACTCTGAGCAACATGATCCTGGACATCCACTGGAAATGTCTCAGAAGTGTCATCAAAGCTTACACTGAAAAAACTGAAACGTTGACTTTAATTAAATGGGTTATGTCAACCGATTTAACCGATTGACATAACTGTATTAGGTTAGTTGAAAGCAATATTATTCAGTTTAAATACACATTTTAGCTTCAGCTTAATTGTATTGCTTTCAACTAACCTAATACAGTTATGTGAAGTTTGTTCACATAATGCATTGAATTAAAGTCAACTTTTTTTTCATTGTAGAGTTTTTTTCTTACAGTTGTTTTTACATTTAGCAATTAATTCAACACATATTTCGAAATCATTAAGATGTGCAAAAAAATACTTTTATGTCAGTGTTTTACTGATCTTTTATATTTATTTCCAGAATAGTTCAAAAGTGTCTCTTTCCCTTCCTTCTATTTTTTTTTTGGATCAAATGTCCCTTCCTTCTATTTTGACTTCTCTCTCTCCACTCTAACACATATAAATATATATAAAATAAGTAGTTGACTTGAATAAAAGCCGCACACAACCCACCTTTAGAAATCAGAACGAGACTTCTTACTCAGTGAAGTTAGTTCTGCATTTAGCGGAACACATTTCCACTCAAACGACCACACAATCATTTTGTGTATAAATAAATACGAAGCACTGTCTGTGTGTGTGTGTGTGTGTGTGTGTGTGTGTGTGTGTGTGTTTGTGTGTGTGTGTGTGCGTGCGCGCGCGTGCGTGCCTGCGTGCGTGTGTGTGTGTGTGTGTGTGTGTGTGTGTGGGTGTGTGTGTGTGTGTGTGTGTGTGTGTGTGTAGGTTGGAGCAGCTGGTCACCCTGTTCCTCCATAAGAACAACCTGACTTATCTTCCTCACTGTCTCACCAAAATCTCAACGCTCAAGATGATCGTCGTCAGCGGCGACGAGCTCAACTCCATCCCGACCAGACTGTGCAGGAACCCCGAGATCAAGTAGAGAAAAACACACACATCCTCAGTCCACTCAGACACCAAGTACACACACTACACAGACATCCAGTACACAAAACACACTGACACCAAGTACACAAAACACTACGTCCAGTACACAAACTACACCAACATCAAGTACACAAACACCAACATCAAGTACACAAACACCAACATCAAGTACACAAACACCAACATCAAGTACACAATCACACAGACATCAAGTACACAAAACACACAGACATCAAGTACACAATCACACAGACATCAAGTACACAAAACACACAGACATCAAGTACACAAAACACACAGACATCAAGTACACAATCACACAGACATCAAGTACACAAAACACACAGACAGGCAGAGCTGGCAGATGTTTTTGGACCACAGTGAACAACTTGTTGTTTTTGAGGATAAATGGCAGCTACTGTGTATTGAAGCAGAATATTTCAAAACGTGATCAGAGGTTGGCTTTGGGACAACTGGACCGAGCTTTTGGAATGCTTGGATCACAGGAATGAAGCTTTGAAAGTGTTTTGCTTATGTTATGAAACTGTTCTCAGGTTTATCAGACTGTGCGACAACCGTGCGACTGCAGAGAACAAGAAGAAAGAGGAGGAGGAGAAGGAGAAGGAGAAGAAGAAGAACAGGTGGAGAGAGCCGAGGGAGGAGGAGGTGAAGAAGGACAGCGGAGAGAAGGAGTTCATCGAGCTGTACGTCAACTCGCTGAAGGACAGAGGTGAGAGGAAAGATGCATTTATTATTATCAGGTAAACTCCAGCTACAATAATACATTTTGTATATCTTTAAAACTGTATATTGATGCTTATTGCATTTTTTGTTTGTTTAGTTTATTCGTACGTGGCATCTTAAAGGTCCCATCATATGCTTTTCTGGTTATTACCCGTCCCCTTGTGTTATGTAGCTTTTTCTGCATGTAAACGGTCTGCAGAGTCACAAACCCTCAAAGTACACCCTGTAGCGAGTAAACCTCTAACACGTGTCTATGCTGCCCCAGAACGCCTCGTTAGAGATTTTTTCTTTTTCCATTTTTTTCTTCCGGGGCATACTGACGTAACGCCGACCAAATAGACCAATCCGTGGAGCTCAGCACACACACACACACTCACTCAGCCTTACCCCCGTATTCCACCGTTATGGCCGCACAACGATCGCGGCCACTCTAGTCAATGCCTGTGTTTCCACCAGACGCGCCGCGTTACGGCTCAGAAGCGTCCCAGAAGCGTCTCGGCGCTGGGCTCCGCTAAATATACGCGGCTGTTCTATTTTTGACGCGAGACATGAGGCGTTGCATAGCGCCGGGCAGGAAGTGGACCGGTCAGAGCATCCAGTCAATCCCCAAAATAAACTCATTTTGCAGACCCTATCCCTCCGTAGTCTTTCAAGTAGGAGGAGAAATGCCAGCGTTCTCCTCCGGTTTACAGGCACTGTGTAAATTATATATATAGAATAATTATGATGATGAATGCATTTTTTTACCACTAAAATACAGCAACACATCTTTGATTCATGTCGTTTATAACTGGGATATTACAATTATTATTAACTTTGTCTGTATAAAGTAGCCTGTCCAGGAAATATGCCCAAATCAACAAAAACTGCGAGCCGGCACGCAAGACGCTCCGCTTCTGAAACGTACCCGGTGGGGTTTGACCATGGATGTATAATAAGAACTGGATACAGCGTGGGAGGCGGGGCCTCATTCATTCCTATGAGAGTTGCTCATTCGCGCATGATCATAAAATGGCCCAACTTTTGAGAGAGCGAAACGTCACAGATTACCCGGCATGCCTGAGAAGTACCCGTATGTGCGCTCATAGCGCATGCGCAACTTTAACCATGCCCCCCAAAATGCTCGTTCACATCAAGCACGTCAATTTGCGTACACGTAACAGCACCACACGTTCATGACAGCATGGCAATGGTTTGTTATTATGATAGATTTGATATTAACGAGGTGGCAGTTAGCAGCTAGCGGTTAGCTAGTAATTATGCTAATTTACACATCAATCGTTATGTACTTTTATATTACGCTGTAACAGGATCTAGTGATATCCAAGCAACAGAGCTTCATTTAGCATGAAAGAATTATTGCACTGTATATATATATATATATACAGTGCAATAAGCTTCTTAGTGCAATAAGAAGCTACAGGGACGTTAATCTACGTCGGTAATATTAACTTTATTTAATACAACATTTACGGTACAAGATTTAATCATACAGCCCATGTAGTATAATATTTTACAAATGATGAATTACAGCAAACATGTGCAATATATCCATTAGTACAGCTCCGTGGGCTGGCAGTAAGGCGATATGGGTCCGTTCTTATTGTGCATCCATGGGTAAAGATCTGCTGAACACGTAACATGAACGTGCCGGGCGGCGCGGTCCCGTGGGTTAGATGCACGTTCATAATGCAGAGGGAAATAACTCTCAGAATAACGTTATTAGCACATTTTTACAACTTGAGAAACGAATGTTTTTAATAAGGGCTATACAAGTGTTCATACTGGGTAGTTTATTTAGTTTAAAAAAAATTATCCAACGATTTACAGACCACTCTTTCCCAATGTAAGTCAATGGGAAAAAGTGTTTCCGGGCCTGGCAACCAAAAGGAAGTGTAGTACCGCCGTTTGGCCAGCACGAATATTTTCATCTGAGTCCGGCGCACTTCCTGGGGGCTTGGGTTTGACGCTGGAGGAGGTCGGAACAAAACCGCGGCGCAGACGTAACGTGGCGCAGACGGACCCGACGGAATCCCGGCGTTATCTTTTCTCAGCCGCGGTGCTCCATGGAGCTCCGTACACACAAACACTCAGGCAGTGAGTGTGTGTATGTGCTCAGGCTGAGTTCCGCGGTGTCTCGCTGTCTCGCAGACCCCACGCAGCAACCAGCAAACGACACCAGTAATCCAGCTCACAATGTCCGCTCCTCGATCCTCAAAGGGCTGAGCAGCGAGCCCCGCAACGTCCCACCAACACGGCACCCAGACCCCACGCAGCATTCTCATCTTTTTGTCATTACTGGTGTCATTTTCTGGTTGCTATCAAACGCCATTGTAAAACATAGACACTGATGTTCCGCTGTAACGGTGGTTGACTAATCAGAACAGAGTGGGCGAGCTGACCATGAACAGAAATGTACACACATCTGGCCAACTCCATATGTATATGTGTGTGAGTTCCCAAATGAAATAAATGTGTTTAATCTTAATCTCGATGTAGTGATCAGTGCTGTCGGAGTGCCCTAATAATAAGGCGTAATAATCGGGTGTTTCGGGACTTGTAAATGTGTCTCAGTTCTTGTAAAAATGTTTCGCTAATGTAATTTTGTTTTATAAAATGTAATTTTGTTTTATAAAATGTAAATTTGTCTCAAGCTTTGTTAAAGTGTTTCACACTTTTTAATTTTCTTTTGCACTTCTCAGCCACCGTAGTAGACCCCTACACATATAACAACTTAGACTATGCTATAACACCCCTTGTTGTTAAATACCAACTATGTGCAATACATATATATGCCGTTAATAACTGTGCAATATATACCTGGCTGCTCTCAGAACTGTTACAGGATGTGTATATTGTAAATTGTGTAATTTTTCTTTTTCATTTCTAATTTTACATTTTGTATACATTTGAGTGTTTCAGTAGCTCCAAATGTTTTAAATCTCATTTTAACGTTTAAAGTTCAGTTTAAATTGACGGCAGATGATCTCATAAATCAGCTCGTTGTTTGTCCCACACCAGAAACCGTCCCTGAATCTACCACCAAAGTCTCCATCTCCTGCCTGCTGTGAGGAGGAGGAGGAAGATGAAGCTGACAGTCTGTCACCATTTGAGTGAATTGAAGATCATTGGAGGGTGCTCTTTATAAGCAGCTATAGAAAATCAAACAAAAACACTTTCATTCATGGGTCTTATAGAAGAAATAGAAACTCATAGATAGCAGGCAGCAGCTCTGACTCACTGAGAATCAGAAACATCTTTCACTTCAGAGTGCTGTGATGTTTGATCATGTTGTGTTATGGAAGCCGATTTAATCCATACGAAAGAAATAAAAGATGAAAAATTAAGTGAGAAATGTAACTGCTGATGTTGAGTCATTAACAAAAGAACCAGGATGTGACTTCTGCCGCTAGGTCCGCTTAACCCTCCTGTTCTCTTCGGGTCAAATCTGACAGATTTACTACTTTCATCAATCATAACCTTTTTTGTTTTACATTCGATTGCATTAAGACTTTATGATATCCTTCACTGGAGACATTTGAACATATAACATTGCTGATCACCACTTTCATTGCATTTTGGATGATTTAGTCAACTTTGAAACACCCATGGTGTTCCCGCCATAAAGAAAAGGAATTAGTAACCATCCGGATCAGATCAGACACACACACAAACACAAACACACACACACACACACACACACACACCACACACACACACAAACACACACACACACACACACACACACACACACACACACACACACACACACACACACACACACACACACCACACACACACACACACACACACACACACACCATCATCATCGGCGGTCACTCGTAGTGGAGTATGACTGTCCTCCTTCTTGGTCCCTGTGGGTCTTCAGGTGGGCATAGAGGCCGATTCTGGACCCGATTATTCTTGTGCAGTGTGGACAGGGGAATGTAGTGGTGGAGGGTTTGGGTTGGACCTGTTTGGTGGTTGCTCTCTCCTTCCTGAGTCTGCGCTTGTCTTGTGCAGCATGGCAGAGGTCATCATTATATAGTGCAGCACCCTCACGGACAAGGTTTCTCCAGGTCGCCCTGTCTGTTGTCTTCCCAAGCTTTTAGGTCTATGTGGCACTTCTTTAGGTTTGTTTTTATGTTATCTTTGTACCTCTTCTTTTGGCCTCCAGGGGCCCGTTTCCCTTTAACAAGCTGGGAATAAAGGACTTGTTTTGGGAGGCGAGAGTCAGGCATGCGGACAACATGGCCAGTCCATCTGAGCTGGTTTTGGGCAATGGTGGCAGTGATGGTGGGAATGTCAGCCTCCTCCAGGACGCTGGTGTTAGTGCGCCGATCCTCCCAGCTAATCCTGAGGATTTTTCGGAGGGATCTCTGATGGTATGCCTCAAGTGCCTTCAAGTGCATGCTGTATGTGGTCCAGGCTTCTGATCCATACAGAAGAGTGGGGAGCACCACAGCTTTATAGACCAAGATTTTGGTCTTTGCTTGGAGGTCACGGTTCTCAAAGACTCTCTTCCTTAGCCTTGAGAAAGCCCCACTGGCACAGCTGAGGCGATGGTGTATTTCATCATCAATAACAGCTTTTGATGATAGGAGGCTGCCAAGGTATGGGAAGTAGTCCACATTTTCCAGTCTGATGTTGTCAATGGAGATGTTTGGGGGTAGGACAGGCGTACTGCTGTTTGGTGGTGGTTGGTGGAGGATTTGGGTTTTTTTATGTTGATGGCGAGGCCAAGCTGTTTGTATGCTTTCGCAAAGGCTGATAGGATACCCTGGTCCTCTTCCGAGAGGGCTACAAGGGCGTTGTCGTGCGCATACTGCAGCTCCATGATCGATATGGTGGTGATTTGACCTTTAGCCCTGAAACGGTTGATGTTGAGGAGTTGGCCGTCAGTTCTGTACATGATGTTGACTCCCTGGGGCAGATGCTTGCTTGTGAAATGTAGGATAGCAGCAACAAAGATGGAGAATAGCGTTGGAGCGATGACACATCCCTGTTTGACTCCTGTGTCGACCCGGAAGGGTTCAGTTTCGTCTCCACTGCCACTGAGTACCGTGGCTGACATATTGTCATGCAGCAGTCTCAGTAACACACACACACACACACACACACACACACACACACACACACACACACACACACACACACACACACACACACACACACACACACACACACACACACACACACTCTAGATGTGTGTGTCCCCCTTATGTGCCCATCCCCCCATGTGAATCACACCTGGCACACACTCACAAACACACACACACAGAACAACTTGACACATTTCCCGCTCTTATGTGCCCCTCCCCCCACATGGATCACACCTGGCACACGCAATACATGTTCAGTGTCTGTTCTTTGTATATGTACTGCAGTTTTTCATGTATACCAGTAGTCTGATACAATATGTACAGTTTGAAAGTGTGTTCAATGAAATGTGGTTATGATTAAAGGTTTTTGTGTTAATGTAATAGCAGTTAAAACGGGACCGGTCAAATTTGACCGCGAACACCAAAGTAAGGGGGGGAAACGAAGACAATAGGAGGGTTAAAAAACTGTTGATGTTAGATAGCGTGGGATTATGGGACTTGTTTTCATTGTTAAGTCTATCTGACAGGACTCAGGTTCATGGTAAAGATCATGTATTTAATTTGTATTCACATTACGTTCAGTCACTTTACGTCATTTCATGCTAATGAAATACATTAGCTAACGATACACTATTTTGCTAACTTCCTGCCTCAATCTCTGAAGTCTCTGTGTTTCTCTCAGAGGGAAAGGCGATATGATTATGAAAGGGGACATATTCTGCTCATTTTCATGTGTATATCAGTATTTAGTGTCAATGTGTTGGAGTGCTAGCCAATAAAAGCTCAAGTGTTATATAGTGATGTCATCATGTTACGGAAGCACACAAAGGAGGCCAATGCTGCAGAAGCACAAGAACACTCAAGAACTATACAAACCACTACAGGAGAGAGAAACCCCCAAAATGTGTGATAATTCAATGTTTTCAAAGTTACATTTTTAGATCAAATAGAAAGAAGTAAAGACTTGTAATTGATACTACAAGCTTGTTAAAATAAGAATTCTGTCACATGATCATGTTTTTGAAAGACACATTTAGGTATACAGAGAGAACATTTATTTCATGAATTGCTGCTGAAATAAATGTCATGTTTGAGTGTTTTTAAAATATTTTCTGCTTTTAAAAAATAAATAACTCATTCCAAAATCAATGTTCCCAAAAACATTGTGACAATACCCCACTACATTTCACTGTAAACCATTGTTAGTATTGTAAATGATATTTGGGATAAACTATATTTTATGGTTGAAGGTGTAAATGTGACCAAACAGTGACATCAAAAAATCTATATCAGAATAAATTCAGTTTATTTATTATTTATAATAAAAATAGCAACAAACACATTAATGAATTTATTCCCATCGGCTTCTCCAAAAACGTTTTTTTATTTGATATTAGTTGTATAACTGATCATTGTGTGTGAGGCTTTGATGTGTTGAGTGTGTTTTTCTGTTTTTATTCCAGATGTAATACATGTTTGAGACGTTCTTTGTTCACCTTGTCGTTTTTTTAATAACTGCAAGAAAGATTAGTTAACATTTCTTAAACATCTGATTGTTTTGAAGCAAATATGAATTTACCCAAATGTAAAACTAATGTTATTATTCATTATTTATAGAAGCAAGCAACATTCATCTTAATGTTAAAAATGTGTTAACTAAAATCTATATATATTCAGTATATTTATTAGAAAGGTTTGATGTTCACATTGTCTAATTTTCTAAGTTAACTGTAAACTAAGATTATTTTATTTTTCAAAAACCTGATTGTTTTTCAAGCAAAACAATAACTGTTTAAACAATAACCAAAATGTCAGAAATATTCCTTTAAGATTGTGTTGGATCACTGACAGTTATTAAACCCCAAATGAAAACAAATAAGCACACAGCTCAAATTCCATACATTTCTCTTTATTATTATTATAGATATTATTCAAAATGATGTTCTTAAGATCAAAGAAAGAAACTGCAAACGCACAACACAAAGACGTCATTCAACGTCTCTTAGTTTATATCAAAACTGATATGAACATGAAGAATGATTAGAGGCACACGTTCAGAGACACTCAAGTGCAGCATCAGCAACTGGTCTGCATCATGTACACGAGGAAGAGGAGGGAGAGGAAGAGGAGTGGGGGAGGAAGAAGGAGGAAGAGGAAAAGGGGTGGGGAGGAAGAAGGAGGGAAGAGGAGTGGGGAGGAAGAAGGAGGAAGAGGGGTGGGGAGGAAGAAGGAGGAAGAGGAGTGGGGGAGGAAGAGGAGTGGGGAGGAAGAAGGAGGAAGAGGAGTGGGGAGGAAGAAGGAGGAAGAGGAGTGGGGGAGGAAGAGGAAGAAGGAGGAAGAGGAGTGGGGAGGAAGAAGGAGGAAGAGGAAGAGGGGTGGGGAGGAAGAAGGAGGAAGAGGAGTGGGGGAGGAAGAAGGAGGAAGAGGAAGAAGGAGGAAGAGGAAGAAGGAGGAAGTTTGAATAATGATCATGAACTCAAATCAAAGTCTTCTTAGTCCTCTTAAAGATATTCAGTAACTATGGCGACGTACAAAAACAGAGCCATCATCAGTTTGGTGAGTTCCAACTGTCGGCCATGTTGTCGCTTCACGTCCCATCGGAAAGTGGAACTTCACACCTTTCAACACGGAGTAACACTTAATTCTAAGAGAAGTACATCCAAGTTTGTTTGAAAGTGTTGCTACCAAAGCATTACCTATTTGAATTATTCTAAAATGTGTATCGTGTTTTTCTACAAAAGCTCTGGCGTGTTAAAAGTCTAAACATCTGGATAAGTATAACCATGATCAAATACACTTGCAATACATGACATGTTTTAAATACGGTGAAATATACTCATTCAAATGTCCCACTGCTGACCAATGACATTCAGTTTCAGGTAACAAGATCTAAAAAGACATTTGCAGTTGTATGCATGGATCCATGTTAGCAGCGCGCGCAGGGAGTGTTGTCCATGTTTTCCCATGAGACGTGAATGCAGCAGCAACGCAAAGACCGGACAGCAGACGGGAGGAGAACTAGCTAAAAACACTGATGCATTCTGGGATCTTGATTGGTTCAGATTGACTGTAGAAAAATATACTGTAGGTCCAACTTCTGTTTTTGACATCATCTTTGAGAAAGAGAGAAACATGAGAATATTGAAGATTTAAAAACCGAAAGAAAACTATTTGGATCGATTGAGAGCTTAAATCAAAAAAGAATTGCATGTTTTAAAGATTGAATTTGAGAAACTCTTCCACGTGAATCAGACAAATTGTAACGTGATTGTGCTTCATGAAGCGACACAGACCATCATCTCCCTCGGGTGTTTCCACAACCACGTT